TTTTTTACATAATTTTATTAGTAAATAGTAATTATGTACAGTTTATGTACACTACCATTCGTATATATACTGTATATGTATATATATATTTTTAATTTTTTTGTAAGAAATAATAGTTTTAGTCATCTAGGACACATTAAATTGATCAAAAGTGACAGTAAAGATATTCATAATGTTAGTATTGAAACTTCAGTTTTGCCATCACAGGAAAAAAAAAGCATTTTAAGAGAAAACTGTTTTTATTCAAAGAGAAAACAGTTGTTTTAAATTGTAATAGTATTTCACAAAATTACTGTTTTTGCTGTTTGTTGATCAAATAAATGCAGCCTTGGTGAACATAAGAGACTTAATCTTACAGACCCCAAACTTTTGAATGCTAGTGTTGCTATTTCATTGCAAGTAAATAGTGAATAAATATGTATAAGGAAATTAATATAGAATTTCTATTAATAATACGTTTCTGATGTCTACTGTGACTGTAGAGCTTTACTGAGGCAGAAATCATGTTATAATTCATCACTATCTCTCTAAACTTTCTTCCTAAAAGTTCTAGCACAAGTTTTTGTATCAAAAATATGGAAAGCAGTTTGTTTTTATGAATGGGATGTAGTCGATGTGTTTGTGTGTGCTGGAATGAGCTGAGAGAGTTTCCTCTTCATTGGTGATGCTGTGATTATCTGATCCTCTACACAGACACACACACACACACTCAGCATCTCTCACACGGCTGTTGTGTGTGTCTCTCTGTGTGTGTGTGTGTGTGAGCAGTCGGGCAGGTATCAGTGAGATGTTTGAGGGGCATCATGGTCCAATCACAGGCATTCACTGTCACACAGCGGCAGGACCCGTAGATTTTACTCATCTCTTCCTGACCGCCTCATTTGATTGGACCGTTAAACTCTGGAGCACCAAGGTAGCACAGCATTCATAAACACTTATTCCATAACGCTGTCATTCACGAGTCTCTCGGCTGACTGTGTTTCTCTCTCTGCTGTAGAATAACAAGCCGCTGTACTCGTTTGAGGACAACTCTGATTATGTTTATGATGTTATGTGGTCTCCGGTGCATCCCGCTCTCTTCGCCTGTGTGGACGGACTCGGACGCGTCGACCTGTGGAACCTCAACAATGACACAGAGGTGAAACATGAAATATTACTGAGCAAATGAGGCACATCAACACACGCTGACATATTTAGTATTAAAAATAATGGACCGAACTGTTATCCACCACTATTTATTTTAAATTTTTTAGGGTTGAGCAATATAGTTAAAACAATTATATAAAACACATTTTTTCAGCCTGTTGACATTATTCAGCATATATGGATATTTATGTATTTGCTCTGAAATCACTTCATGAAAATCACTTTTCAGTCAGTTGTTAAAACAAACTGTTACTAATTAGATTTAATATTTTTTTTATTTTTATTTTTTTTTAAGTAATACTCAATTGCATGAAAATTAATCAAACACTGTGGAGTTATGGCGCTTTAATATTCAATAACCTTTCTGCCATGAATAGTGTTAAATGAAAAGATAATGGACAGCATATACAATACTGTTGAAAAGTTGAAAGTGTTTTTTTTTCTCAAAGAAATTATATATTTTTTTGGCTAAGATGCATTTGGTTGATCAAAAGTGACAGTAAAAACATTTATAACGTTACTAAAGAGTACTATTCCAAATAAATGCTGTTCTATTGAAGGTTTATTCATGAAGGAATACTGAAAAACGTGCATCATTGTTTACAACAAAATATGAAGCAGCACAACTGTTTTTAACATTATTGATAATGATAAGGATTTCTGAATGATTTTAGAATGGCAGACGGAATAAATTACATTCTAAAATATATTCAAATAGAAAACCGTTATTTTAAATTGGAATAATATTCACAATATTATTTTATCGTTATTTTTTTTGATCAAATAAAGACTTCATTGGTGAACATTTGAAAGGACTGCTTTGAAAAACTTTTTCTTTTTTTTTCTATTTTGAACAGTAGTGTGTGTGTATATAAACCCGCATTGCATTTAAAATATGATTTATTACTAAATGTGTACGGCATGAAATATAATGCTATAGAAGTAATTTTTGGTTATTTCCTACTGTATACAGTAAGTTTACTGTACATGTTTTACTACTACTTTGACAGTTTGAGTCCAAATTCACAACAAGGCAATCAGAGTGTGTTTGTTGATCCATGTTCTTATATGCTATTTCTGCTAGAAGGTTCGTGTAGAAGGAAACCAGTGCATGAAAATGTACAATTTATTGTGATCAGCCTTGTCCTGTGTGTAGTTAAACATATGTTTGACAGCCAGTTACTTTCAAATATCAGCATGGAAGTTATGAATCAAGTTAAAAAGTAGAAAGTGAAATTGAAATCGTGTACAATTGTCAACAGTGTTAATGGTATTATTAAAAAAAGCTCAGCTAACCTGTGTGTGTGTGTGTCTGTCTGTCTGTCTGTGTGTGTCTTTGTGTGTGTGTGTGTGTGTGTGTGTGTGTGTCTTTGTGTTTGTGTCTGTGTGTGTGTGTGTGTCTCTGTGCGTGTGTGTGTGTGTGTCTGTGTGTGTCTGTCTGTGCGTGCGTGTGTGTGTGCGTGTCTGTCTCTTTGTGTCTGTGTGTGTGTGTCTGTCTGTCTGTCTTTGTGTGTGTGTGTCTGTCTGTGCGTGTTTGTGTGTGTGCGTTTGTGTGTGTGTGTGTGTGTTTGTGTCTGTCTGTCTGTCTGTGTGTCTGTCTGTCTGTCTGTCTGTCTGTCTGTGTGTGTGTGTGTGTGTGTGTGTGTGTGTTCTGTCTGTCTGTCTGTGTGTCTGTGTGTGTGTGTGTGTGTGTGTGTGTGTGTGTGTGCGCGTGTGTGTGTGCAGGTGCCCACTGTCAGCATGTCTGTGGACGGCAGTCCCGCTCTGAACAGGCTGCGCTGGTCTCAGTCGGGCAGAGAGATCGCCGTGGGTGACTCAGAGGGACAAATCCACATTTATGACGTCGGCGAGGTGAGAGAATAGAGTTTACTTAAGACACATCACAGACCGACTACACGGTAACACCTTCGGTGGCTTTCTCTCTCCCGCTCCCATTCTGTCACTGAGACAGTCGTGTAAAAAGCCCAAGTGGAGTCTCTAAAGATGACACACACTACAATTGCATGTCTGTCAGAGAGGGGCCCTTCAGGGGCCACAGTGGGCCTCTGTCACTCAGCAGATAGAGTAGAAGAATGAGGTGGAGGATTGTTAGCCAGGGGTCAGTTCACTCTGACAATCCCAGAATAGTTTGATCTTCTGCGGTGTGGCCACTGCAGACTTTACACCTCTTTACCAAACACTCCTGTATTATGTTTCTCTCTCTCTCTCTGTTCCACCAAAGCAAATCGCAGTCCCGCGAAACGACGAATGGACCCGCTTCGTGCGGACGCTGGCGGAGATCAACGAGAACCGTGACGATGCTGAGGAACTGGCCACTCAGCGCCTCGCCGCTTGATCGTCATGGAAACCAGCAGATCTCAGAAAGCTGGAATCACGTCTCTCTCTGGAAATGAAATGATTTCTGTGTGCTTTGAAACCTTTGATTCTGCCTTTTGTTTGGAATAAAAATATGAAGCATGGTGCGAGAGCAGAAGCTCCTCATCATCAGCCCACGACCAGAAGCCTTAACATTTGCATGCAAAAAAACCTCATAATGAATGTTTCTGTTTCTATCCAGGTATCTCTGAGCATGCTAAACTCTCAGCTTATTATGCACAGCCAAATATGAACTATCTCATTAAACCTGTGTCTGGATCCCCCCCCCCCCCCCAAAAAAAAAAAAAAAAAAAAAAAAAGCATGCTAAACTCTCAGCTTATTATGCACAGCCAAATATGAACTATCTCATTAAACCTGTGTCTGGATCCCCCCCCCCCCAAAAAAAGAAAAGAAACAATCTTTGCATAAAGAATATGAAGCTGTTTTTGTATTCTTTTTATGACAGCTGAGCACATTTTAAAGCAAAACAAAAAGTTTAAAGGAATAAATTTGCTGCCTTACATTTACACAGGTTTAGTATTACAGGTTTTTTAGTGTAATACAGTAAAATAGAATTGGGGTGAGGGAGTGTGCTTAAGTGCTAGATGTCATAAATGGTGTAAAATGTAATAAGAATAGTTTTCTTTTGATTTTGGGGTGAAATATGTTTTTGAGAGGTTTCATCAGATTTACCCTATCATCTAACATCTGCACTATTCTCAATACTGTCAAACCTTTGTTTTTACTTGATCACAGACCGAGAGCATTGTAGGGATCTACCTCTTTCAGATCTTGTGAGTGGGTCATATTTAGCATCACATATTGAGTTTGGTGGAGATTTCTGCTGTCCAACTGTGCACCAAATGCTGGAATAATTTGTGACATTCAACTGTTTCTTTTTGTGTTCCTGTTAATGATCGATCTTGTTCCTCTCCACCTCAGCAGAGGCACAATCACATATTTCTGATGCATATCAATATACCGGGTTGACTTTCCAAAAATCTGTTTAGTGTCTCTTTTAGAGAACCACGTCTTTCTCTTCCAGTGTTCCTCGCCTGTTTGAAACGCTCACAGTAACTTTTGCAGAATGTCTTTGTATATCTGAATTCTTTTTCTAAGCCAAATCTTCGGTAAATCTCTTGTGATTTACCTCGAATCCGTTTGAAGTCATCCTGTAGTGTTTTGCAAGGATTCCAAAGCGTTGCTTCCAGCTGTTTCTAACAGTATTCCTCATGTTTAATGGAATGTCCAATAAATTCTGCATTTGAATTGTAACAATTGTAATTTATTTCAATAAATGACAATGCAATAATCAAATGCATTTAAACCAAATATCTGTTCATGTGTTCACATTTGTATTTCCTGTTTAATTCCATGTTCCCATAAGCAGGCATAATCTTAAAAAATACTTTTGCATGAATACTTTCTTAATACTTTGGCCATTGCTTGAAAATTCCACAGGTTTGTTTACTATCAACCATGTGTGTGTGTGTATATATATATTTGTGCCTATATGCAATTTAGTCTGAATATACAGTAACTTCAAATGTCCAGCAGAGTCAAATATTGGAGAGACTGTCCTCCGAAGTGAATGTAAACCAATCTCTGCAGAAGGTAACTAAAGCAGACTGTGGAGATCTGAAAACCGTCCGGCCCGATCACTCTCAGCGCCACCCGGGCGCACGGTTTGATGACATCGGCAGGGGTCACCGGCGAGGCTGCACTACAATGCAAAGAAGCTCTATCATCATGCCTGCAGAAGAACCTCATCCTGCTATGCATGGATTCAAAAAAGGTGTAGAGCATCTACATAACACTGACAGCAATTTAAAAAGTTGAGCTGCAATCCAAAAGTGCTTTTTTTTCATGCATTCATGTTTAGATATTGTCTGGAATGGGATATCTATGAGATTTATAGTTGTCTGTAACCTGGATAGATGTGGGTCATTCTCAGGTGCCACCTGTGCCTCAGTGCCCATGGCGTACTGCTTTAGCATATAGGCTACTGAGACACATTTGATAGGCTTGATTAAAGCTGCTGAAAATTCAACTTGCCATCACATGAATAAAGTATTTTAAAGTATATTCAAAAAGAAAACGGCTATTTTGATTTCTAACAATATTTCACAATATTAACGTTTTACTGTATTTTTGATTAAATAAATGCAGCATTAGTAAAATCTTACCAAGCCCAAACTTTTAAACGGTGGTGTACATGTTGCTTTGATTTAAATTAACTGTGTCTAACAGTTAATTTGATCATTGCCCTCATCAGAGACTTTTTGGTTTGTGTGTGTGTGTGTGTGTGTGTGTGTTTCAAGACAAGTAAATGTTCAACACACACACACACACTCAAGTGGGCATTACTGATGTATTTTATATTGTAGAATAAAATATGAAAATATCTTGAGTTTGTATTAACCACAGACCTTATTTCAGGTATTTAACCAACATGCCTATTCAAAACAGCCATTGGCTTTAGGATAATGCAACTAAAATGCATCAACCCTGCACTCTGTTATGTATGATTTAATTATAGTGACAAGACACACAAACTGAGTGATAAAACTTGAACTTAAAGGGGTGGTTGATTGGGTTTTTTCTAGGCTTGATTGTTGTTAGAAAACACTCTCTGTCTTTCTGTTGAGTCCAGACATGTCTTACTCCTCCTTTTTCTCTCTCTCTCTCATTCTTATATATACAACGCATTCTCTCTGAATTCCTCCTTCTGTATCCATCTCTCTCTCTTGATATTATGTTTTAAATATGTCTTACTTAGTGTGTTTCAAGACAAGTAAATGTTCAACACACACACACACACTCAAGTGGGCATTACTGATGTATTTTATATTGTAGCATAAAATATGAAAATATCTTGAGTTTGTATTAACCACAGACCTTATTTCAGGTATTTAACCAACATGCCTATTCAAAACAGCCATTGGCTTTAGGATAATGCAACTAAAATGCATCAACCCTGCACTCTGTTATGTATGATTTAATTATAGTGACAAGACACACAAACTGAGTGATAAAACTTGAACTTAAAGGGGTGGTTGATTGGGTTTTTTCTAGGCTTGATTGTTGTTAGAAAACACTCTCTGTCTTTCTGTTGAGTCCAGACATGTCTTACTCCTCCTTTTTCTCTCTCTCTCTCATTCTTATATATACAACGCATTCTCTCTGAATTCCTCCTTCTGTATCCATCTCTCTCTCTTGATATTATGTTTTAAATATGTCTTACTTATATGCGAAGTATGCATGCTTAAATGTATACATTAGCTTCTCTTGATTTAAAGGCCCCAATAAAGACATGAATGTTAGGACTACAAGGGTAAAGGAGTTCGTGATGAAACCATGAAGACAGTTCAGCATTCTTCGCAAAAGTCTATTCCTAATATGTCCATGTTTTTCTGTACATGTGGCTATTTTATATAAACACATGTTCTTGGCCAAAGATCCTACGTGTATGTTATTCATATCCTCATTGGTTAAGAGGATGAAACTCCCCTCGACATATGCCTATATAATATCTGTATTTCTATGAATAAATTGAAGTATTGAGGATACATTTGACTGTGTGTTTTCTTACTTCCCGACCGTATTTACACTTTAAGGAGACTGAGAAAAGGTCACGGTGGCAAAGAGAATTTACAAAGGGACCAAATTGTTATTCTTTATTAACAATTGTTTTTATGGGGTGCAGTCTAACATGTGTTAATGCTTCGTTAAAAAAAATTACCAGCCATTTTTGTAGGCATTAAACTGCCAACATTTTAAAAGATGATATCTCCGTTTGCATTGAACTTTCAGCTTCGTAACTTTGCAGATATTGTTTATGCTCAAACAGCAACATTACACACAAATTAAAGTTTAAAAAAGTGAAATCGCAATCAACCACCCCTTTTTTAACCAGTTATATATTTAAATTGTAAGCATATAATTTCCACTTTACTGTGACAAAGAATGTTGTACTCTGTGGTTATTAACATTTGGTT